CAGCACTGCAAGGCATGTGGGGACTTGATCACAGCGGTGATGAGAAATAGGCACAGATAGTGCACTTGGTATGTGTGGGCAGACCCCTACGCAACATCTCCAAGAGCCTGCCAGGAGCCTGCCCACGCAGACCCAGCTACATGAAACAGCACTTCAAATGCTAATTTTCACTTTACTACTAAAGGTATCATTAGTGGAAAGGTTCTAGTTAGCTATCAAAAATAGCTATTCTTTCTTAGAAGTTGACACAATCCTTTGTGCAGCAGTCACAAAGGATCCTAGAGCACCTCAGTGGCAGCATGGCCTTAGCTGCATCAAACTGAGCTACAGGTAAGAATTATTTCTTTTGCTCATGCTAAATAACAAGCAGATTTTTGTAAACCTTAACAACTACCACGCTGCTAAATATCTGCTGTGACTGCTTGCAAACCTGCCCCCTCAGTAACTGCCAGTCCACAGAACAGGTTCCACTACTATGGAGCATTCAGAGAAAAAATATTCACACCTGTGCCCATCTCCATAAGCTCACAACAGCCTGTGTCTGATGAGCAGCACTCCCATGCAAGTAACCATGTGTAAAGGAAATAAATAAATAAATCCACACAGCAAAGGCCTGTTTGCTTAAAAGCAAGATAAACCAAATGCATCACTTATGGAAAGAAGCAGAGAATAAACATACTTGGTGTCCCTCTGTGCCGAAGCCCAAAACCACACTTTATCTGGAACAGAACATCTCCTGCATGCTCCCTGCACAGCCCACTAAAACAACTTCAGGATTTGTGTTCGTTTCCTGCTTTTTTGGAGGGTGGGTTGTTGTTTTATTTTAAAATGTCGTCATTATCAAAAATACAAGGGACTAAGAGCCTGAGGAACACCACTGCCAGGACTGCAGCATTGTCTTGACAGATACACACATACACACTCCCCCTCCTCTCCACAATCTGCCTGCTCTTGACAAGCCATGCTTTTAATTAAATGTATCCTAAGATGTGCTGAGAGGAAACTGCATATGAACACTTGCCAGAAATTAACTTCTAGTGCAAACAGCTTCTCTACACTCCCCCCCCCCCCCCCCCCCAAAAAAAAAAAGATACACTAGAAGCCATTCACCTCTGCCAGGCTTCCTCCTAGAGCAGATCCCATCCTCCTCCTCCACCACTACTTGGCACCAATTTCTCCTGCAGCCTTCCCTGCTCCTAAGCCCTGGACCCTTTAAAACACCCACAGAAATCCCGTATCCCTGGCTGGGAGAAGCACAACACACATGGGCACTGCCTTTACATTACGCGGTCCCCCCATTATTTCACACATCCCCCAACATCTGCCAACAACTGCATCCTTCCCAGCCGGCCCTGGGAGGAATACAAGCTGCCCTTGTCCAGGGAACACTGCAGTATTCTGCAGTACGGCCACGCCAGAGGCAGGGCGCCCTGAGCCCTTCGGCTCGGCGGAGGAATGACTGGCACAACACAGCAAGGCTTTTGCGCTATTTATTTCCACGAGCGAAGGGCGGGAGGCACCCACTCACCCAAAGAAAACCCTGCACAAGTGCCCTTGGCTGCCAAGGGTAGACGGGGAGCACCACTTCCAGAGAGACTCTTTGGCAGAAGGGGTCAGTGGTGCCCGAGATTTTCGGTGCCTGGTAAAGAGAAGAGACCTGGCAACTTGAGACCTTTGCATTCATGCACAGAAAGCAGCAAATACCACCCCCATGAGCATACACAGCATGAAAATAATACCACATAACCGACTGAGCAGCAATTTTAATCCAGGCACGCATCAACTTTTGAGCATCTCCAGGCTGAGATTTACGTTCTTTCCACCGTGCCCATCAGGACAGACATCCATCCGTTCATCGCCCCTTCCAGCCCCACCCCACGGCTGACATGTACCATGCCCATCTCCTCCACACCACGCTCCCACCGCACTGCATTGATCCTGCTAGCAGTCCCACAGCCCAAAATAAAACACCGAAAGGGATTTAATAAAAGGAGACAGGTTTGGAAAACGCTGACCCTGGCGCAAGATAACAGCTTGCACGTTTGATCAGAGGAGAGGGAATACGGGGAAGGAGGGAGGGAGAGGTGGTGTCCTGCAAGCAACTCGAAAGCCCCAAACCATGGGGTTGAGGTATATACCAGGGGTCCCTTTACCCAGGGTACCTTCACCGGCAAGGGACACGCACCCAGCTTTGGGGCAGGGTCGCTGGCAGAAGCAGTCCAGGGACGGGTGGGGGGTCACGCTGCCCCCCAATGCTCCTGCATCGCATGGGGCAAAGTTTCATCGGGTCGGGAGAGGTTTCCTCTCACCTGCCCCCCCCTTCCCCAGAGCCTTGTCTCTTACCTTCATGTCGCTTATGATGGTCTGGAAGAGCCCTCCGAGAGCACTACATTCCTTCTCTATCACAGCCTCCATTTTCCTCGCTCGAGCACACTGGAGGAGGCACAAACTGCTGCAATTTCACTACCGAGCTGAAGAAAAATGAGACACCCCGGTCTCCACCTCACGTAAAAATGAAACAGAAAAGAGGGGAGGGGGCAAACAAGCCGACGGAGGCAATAAGGGAAAAAAAAAACACCCAACGCACCTGAACCCCTGCCTGCTACACTCTGAAAGCTGAGAGAATGGGGGGAAAACCAAACCCCCGTGCTGCCGCCGGCGGTCCCTACACACACCTCCCCGCCCGGGCACTCGGGGCCGAGCGGCCACTGTCCTCCCTCGCACGGGCAGCCGCGAAACCCATCTCTGCCCGGAACGGCCTGAGCCCCGGCGGCGGCGGGCTCCGGCACGGCAACGCGCTCAGCTCAGCTCAGCGCAGCGGCAGCCCGCAGCCCGCCAGCTCCGCGGCAGATGCGCACGCACACCCGAGAAACTACAGAGGAAACCCTGTATCCCTGTATACACGGATGTGTCTAGATAAAAAAAGAGGTGCGACCGCGCGTCCAGCCGGTGCCCGGGACGCAGCACAGCGGCTCCCTGCCCGCCTCAACCGACCCCACTGCCGCTGCCTCCGCTACACCCACCCGCCCTCCACAGGAAAGCCCCGGCCCGCCAGGGCACCGCCCGCCCCGCCCCGCCCCGCCCCGCGCGTCACCAACGAGGCCGCTGATTGGCCCCGAGCGGCCGATGGGCGCCGGGTTCGCGCCCCGCGGCCGCCGCTCTCGCTGCCCCCCCCCCGTCACCCCGGTGTTTGTCAGGGGGGTTCCGTCCCCCAGAGCACCCGGCGGAACTGGGGGTTTTAGTGGTGACATTCACCCAAATTGCCCCAAATTCGGGTCTTTATGTGAAAACCAGCTGCCTCAGCGCACCGGCTGGGAACGGCTGAGCTGGAAGCAGCCGGCGGAGGTAGGAGCAACGGAAGATACAGCCCAGCGTAGTGCAGTGACAGCAGCTTCAGTTGCAGATACTGTGGGGCTGTTCATTCATCCTGGCCCAGGAACGCAAGGCGATGTGTAAGGATATTAGTCACAAAAACAAGGGGGTTTTAAGGCAATCCAGTTTTCACATGCACTGTGCCAAATTTTGCAGAACACCATAGTCATACTTACATATTGATACATGCACCCCGGCTACAGCTCACCCCCTGCAAACGCCTAGGTACATAGAATCATGGTTTGGGCTGAAGAGACCTTAAAGCTCATCCAGTTGCAACCCCCTGCCACGGGCAAGGACACCTTCCACTAGAGCAGGTTGCTCCAAGCCCTGTCCAACCTGGCCTTGAACACTGCCAGGGATGGGGCAGCCACAGCTTCTCTGGGCATCCTGTGCCAGTGCCTCGCCACCCTCACAGGGAAGAACTTCTGCCTTGTATCTAATCTAAATCTACCTTTTTCCAGTTTAAAGCCATGCATGTGACAGACTGCATTCTCCATGTTGATGTAGCACTGCAGGGAGAGGCTGGGCAGGTGCCCTGCCTGCAGTGGGGCCACGGCAGCACTGGCTGCTGCAGTGATTTCCCCTCTGCTTTTCCCCTCTTGACTGCAGGGAGAAAACACCTCAGCCCAGTCCGACCAAGCAGTTCATTCTGTGGCTCTGTAAGACCCTTGCTCCCAACGACGAGCCCAGTGAATGACCCCAACAGCCTGTGGTAGCAATACCTTCTCATCACATGCAGAGCTTAGGTGCTGTCACACAGCCAGTGTGACAGTGTTCCCCTGGGACAGAGTCACATCCAGCAGTTCAGCAGGGAATGCTGGTGGCCTACTTTGCTTTCTTCAGCCGTACCGTTTCTGGGATGATCCTTGGTTTAGTGCAAGCAGTATTTTGGCTAACCTCTGTGGGGAATGAGAATTCCCGTTGTGAAAGGTTGCAGAGTGCATGATGCACATGGGATAGGAGGGAGAAAAATCTCCTGCTATAAAGAAAAAGCTGTGGATTAAGGACTGCATTAATGCTTTAGTTAATAAATCAGGGCTGTAACAAGCAACAAGTCTTCATACAGTGACAAAACATTGTGCAGGTATACAGCAGGAAAATGAAGTAAGCATTTCAAGCCTCAATAAATTATAACAAGCAAATTAGGCATACAGTGTAAGAGAATGTTTTTTTACCTTGCAAATTCAAACGGTGAAGCTGTGCACACCACTGGTTATGATGGATAACTTGCTAAACTACCATAACTTGAGTGCATCAGGGCACAGCCTAGAGAGACCTTAACAATACTGCTTAGGTGGAGTATTTTTCTCTCAGAAGGTGCTAGTCATGAAAAATGGAGACATGATGATTTCAATAAACTTTATATTCACAGTGCGGAAAACGAAAATGTGAACAGAAACCTGTTTGTTCTTTCCAGTATTTGTCATTTCACCATCTATTTTGTTAAATTCGCATTGTACGTATCACTTGGAATAATGATTGTGTTAATTTTATATTTGACAATTTTTGTTTGTAGCATAACACAGCTAAAAATAAAGCAAGGGCACATAACCTAAAGGCATCAAAATAGAGTCTTGACAACTGATTTTTTTTTCCTTTGGCATTGAAGGAAATTTCATACTTTTAATTTTATTCTGCCTTTCAGTGACTTTTAATGACAGAATTTTCAATTCAGCTTCAACCAGCTGTAGAGTGACAGAGTGAACATTCTTCTTTAAAGACCTGAGTCCAAATGGTTGTTTAAAGTGTGAGTAAAAAGTAGTTTGGTGATGTTGCGGTAACGTCGGGTTACCATCTGTCACATTATTTCTGGGATCTGCTTGATTGATTCCTAGCAAATCACTTCCTGCAAGCATTATTTGCTAAACTTTCTGATGGGCAAAGGCTATTTCTGTGTTCATGAGGCATCGTTACTGGGGAACATTTCATTACCAAGTGATGACATTCTGTAAAATATCCTGGTGCATGGGCAAATGCCAGCACCACTTCTCAACAGTGGGGTGGCTGAGTGCACCTTACTTGGCAACCTCCAACAGATGACAACCTTAAAATTTGCCAAGGGCACAATAGTAGCCCATGTTCTGACATCCTTCAACACGTTGGGTGCTCTGCTGACAAAAAGCCTATTCCACTGAAACCACGAGAGGGCTGCTGGCTAAGAAGGAATTTCTCCAGAGAGAAGTGGGCAGCTTGAGCAATGACTTGGTCACTTTTCCTGGTCTGGATTGTTCCCGCTCCTCCTCCCACCCTGAGACCCTGAGCACCAAGGTACAGAGTACAAGGTACAGAGTGAACCAGGCACAAATCCATGAGGATCAAATGTCCACGCTGTGTTCCCAGATTTGCCAGTGGAGCAGAACGTATTTATTCACATTCCCATGCCTTGCTTTCCTCTTCTGTAAAATGAAAATCCCAGTTTTTAAAAGCATTCTGAGTGTTTTTGCACCAACCACAAGTGTGAAATGTCATTGCAATAAGAACAAATGTATACTTTGTTAATGTGCCGTAAAACATTTAACTGTGGTGCTTATTTAAGTCCTGATCTTACACAGATTTAAACCCACTTATGAATACGAGTAGCCCTGTGGAAGACTAGATTACACATGCACTTAAGTGTTATCAGATTGAAGTCATAGAACAACAATCACAAAAGGTACTTAATCACCTTTAAATTACAGTGTTCCTAATTTAGCTAATGTTATTCCCCAAGGAAAAATTGCCTCATCTAGCATATAATCAAGAGGGAATCAAGGGCTCTTCCTTCAAGTGGTTGACAGTTCGAAAAGAGATATGGCTTTTAAAAAGAAGTTGCTAAAGGCTGAACCATTTAATTGAATTATCTCTTTAAGAAATTGATGCAAATTAATATTATAATACTGCATTACATTGCCACAGAATCTTTCATCCTTAAGCCTTCTTAAAATGTATTAATAAACTTGAAAAACAAATGTACATTTGGTGATTTTTTTGTTATGAAACCAGTATCCTGTCCCTGTTTGAGGCTTTCTAATAATGATTTCTATTTTGAAGGATGACAGTGTTTTCCTCTTCATAGACTGAGAGAAAAGGAGCCCAAGAGCTTCCAAGAGGTGGAGTCCCTGACGTGATTTCATGCAGTCCTCAAGGTGCTTGCCAGGTACAACCCTGCTCAGTCCATAGAAGAAGATGAGCTCATTTTACAATGCCTGATTGGATGGAGAGGTAAGATAGCAGGCAACACAGCCAGAGAGATGACGAAAGGAACTGATGAAATATGGAGCAATCCCACCAGAACCCATGTGAGCCAGCTGTCCCAACAGCATTACAAATATTAGATAGTCACCCCTCCTTATCACTGGTGAAAACTTTGTCTTATATCTAAAGAGGATTAATTCACTGGTCATACATAGAGATGGGGACCTAGTGAGGGAGAATTCACTTTTTTTTCACTAGTCTCTGGTTTCAAAACATAAGAAATAACAATGTTGTGGTTCTCCATCTATATTCGGGTTATTTTTATGCCCCCAATTGTTTTTAAATTACTAAGCAGGACTGCTGTAGTGGGGGTTCTTCTGCAATCACTTCTGCTTGCTGCTTGCTGGCAAAATAACAGCTGCTATTGCTTTACCAGGATTGATTTCTATATAACAGCTCCATCTAAAGCCTACCTACAGGCAGCAACTCTGCAGCAAAATATCAATGCGGTTTCATTTTCAGCTGTAAGGTTTGCTCATAAGAAAAAACAATACATTTTCAGCAAAGTCCAACATGGAATGTCATTCATTCAGAGCACATAGAGGACAAGATGCTTACTTTTAGTGGGCTGTATTAGTTTTCCACTCCCCCCCTTCACTAACAAGTAGGAAAAAAAGGCTTTACCCAAGCTATCTCTGTGCACAAGGCACAAAGCTGAAAATGAGGGTTTGCATAGTGTACCAAGGGCTTTACAGATAGGCCATGATTTTCGGTCATGGGAATGTGAAATGCTGTTGCTCACATTTGCCATCTCAGGTTGGTAGATTCAGAAAAAGGCTCTCAGGTCTATCGCCTCCTTCCAAGCAATGCTCCTGTTACTGCTCTTAAAACTCCGACATGATGAACCCCAATAAGTGACCAGTGGGGTTGCCATAGCTGAGGTTATGTGGTCACTTTCATCCTGTGCAAGTCCACAGTAGCATCGACAGTGCATTTCCACGCTCACTGCTCAGCCATGGCCTCCTTCCTACACTGTCCCATGTCACCAGCACCAGAGCTCAGACAACCATATGTATGATGGGTCCCAAGGGGACCTGATCTGGCTGAAAACTAAGCCTGCAAAGAAAGACAATTTTAGTCCAGAGGAGGATCCTGCCTTTTTGTGTTTCATGGAGAAGGGGCAGCCTGCATAACTATTCCCATGCTTATTCCCTAGAAGATTCCTTCTTGTTTCTCACCTACAGCCAATACGGGTTTAAATATCCAGAACTGTCAGTGTGAGCCCTCTTGAAAACTGGCTTCATTACCTTATATTAGGTTCTGATATGGACACATTCACCTCATAAATACAGGGCTCACTTTCACATTTTAAAGCTATTTAGCTGATGCATTTTAAAGTCACACGCTAAACTGATTTGAATAAAATTTCCTGAATGCACCTATGTAGACAAGCAGTAAGTGAACAAAAAAATAATCAGGTTATACTTGGAGTTACAGACATGCTTAAACACTGACAAAATAAAGCCTATGATGATAGATGTCACTTTTGCAAATATCTCATGTTCTCTTCTTTAAAGCAACATCAACATTGACTTAATTGCACATCAGAGAATCAACAAGGTCAGAAAAGACCTTTTAGATCATCAAGTCCAACTGTTCCCCAGCACTGCCAAGACCACCATGTCACTAAGGGCCTCGTCTACATGGTTTTTGAACACTTCCAGGGACAGTGATTCCACCACAACTTTTATTCCTTCTTGTTTGTAGGTATTAGAGTTGCCTGTTGTGCTTTATCTCCAGCACATACTTTTGTCCAAACTGTTGTTGGCCATTTCCCCTTTAGGTGTGATGTAAAATGAAACTGAGTTCTTCTGTACCTCCCATCAAGCAATAATTTTTAGTAGGTCACTATTCCTGAAATCTGAGATTCGTATTTATTGGTACGCACAGAACTCCATGTGTTGAACCACCTCAGGACACAGTCACGTGAAACATAATGCAACACTTTCTCCTATAAAGGAAAACATTATTTTTTTGCCAGTCCATAAATCCAGCCTTTAAAACAAGCGTTGCATTCACAAAGAAATGGTTTAGTAAAAAAATAAAGCATGTTTCAATGGGCAGACTTCCAGCTCTGTGTGAGTAGGGAATACTCAAGCTTTTTCTTTTTCCTATCTCTTTACTTATGTTTCTGAAATACTAGTGAAAACAACTTGAATGCTAATCCTCTTCTCCAGAGCCAGACACCTGGGATGTCAGTGAGCAGAAATTGTTAGGTAGAGGTGTCTACTATGAGTCCAAGCTGCAAACTCCAGAAAGCACTTTGGGGAGATCAGATCATGCTGAGAGCCTGCTAGTGTACAGTTTCTTCTAAAAAAAGAAGTAACAGAAGAATTAGAAACAAGAGGAGACTTCCAGTGAAGCAAAGAAAATGAACAGAAAGAAAAATCTAGTCTACTGGTCCAAATAATACAGGCAGACTAGCACGTACTGGAATTTGGGACTAAACCCAAAGAGAGCTGACATGAGGACACACTGCAGGGAGGGACAAGCACAGGGATGAATGGTGCCATTGTGAGACTATTTTAATTAATTTTTGTAATGAAGCCAAAGCTCTAATTTACCACATCCCAAAAGTAAATAGAAAAGGGTATGACCTTAATTTCAGAGGTGGGGAAGGAAAACCTAATTGTTAAGTAGTCAGCTGTCACTCGTTATTGCAATTGGATAGATACACTTGGTGTGTTACTATGAATAGGCCAGATTCAACAGCCCAAATAGTGGGTAATGACAGTTTTGTTCTCTCTCTTCTTCATATTCTTTCCAAGTCTTTGATTAGTAACATTTTCTATCGGTTTTACCACGTGGATTGCAATACTCCAGACTCCACCAGACTCTGAGTAAGCCCGTCTGGGCCACAGAATAGATTTCTTTTTTTGTCTTAGCAGGCAGATGTGTGCAACACTGGCAGGATGCAAAACATACAGACACTACAGGAGGTCCCTCTTGCCTTCTTACTTTCTGCTAGCCCCAAGTGAGTATATTCCTATACAGGAGCTAGTGGTGGAAGACAGTTTTTCAATGTAGAATGTCTGCAATCTGAAAAAGTATAAAAGTTGTATCTGTTTCTAACCACGGTCACTAAATAAATACAGTTTGATGTGCATTATATGCTCTTGAAAACATGCCTTTGTTTGCATCACTCAGACTGCGCACAGCCATCCCTGCACTTAACTTTATGGGGTCATTTCAATGGAACAAGGGAGGGATGCATGCACAGATCTGAGATTGGTGTGAATTCCTTATGTCTTATCAAATGCTGTACCCACATAATTATGTGCCCATATAAAAAGAGTTTTCTACTCCAGATATTTCTGTTCTTTGCCCTATAATACCAGTTTGAAGAGGAAGTCATCCAGCATGAGAACATGAAGGATTTAGGCAGAAATGTTCATAATAAAAAATGCTGTTCTAGCAAGTTCTTCTATGGCATAAACAAAGGAGTCATCTGTGTTAGGCTGACTTGTTCAGACAAAGCATACTGGTATTAGGGTGAATATTATTAGATTAACACCTATAATGTGGGAGCTATCATCCCAAATACAAATAACAAATAGTTTGTGCCCCCAAATCCTTGTGTTAACAGCCACCTTCCTTTCTCAGTGCATGCAGAAGCAGCTGCCTTTATTCTGTAATAATGAACTGTGCTTTTTTCAATATTCCCACTCAAAATCCCGAGTGAAGGCACTTCTTCTGTAGTATGTCTTTAAATCTGCAGTGGCAGGGCAAGTTAGTTAGCTGGTTGGCATCAACATTTACTAGTTTAAGTCCTGAGCTCAAAATTCAATGTATTCTTCTGCCAGGAATCAAGATCATCAGGAAAATTCACCTGGTGCTTTCAACAACCAAGAATAAACCTCCTGAATGACTTTCTAAATTTCTGCCAGTACAGGGAAATGACAGATCTTCGCTTTTCTGTGCTGTCTCATCAAGAGTGGACTGTCTTTTATTGAAGGACACGTTTTAACAAAGCAGAAATTAGCACAAATCCTGATGGCCTGTGCTATCCGACAGAATGATCTAATGGTGTCTTTTGACTTTGAAGGCTATGGCTGCATCAGTCAACCTCTAAAGCAGACCCAGTGTTTAACACAAATGCTGAGAGACAGCTGCCAGTCTTAGTGATGCTCAGGGATGATATATGGAGAAAGCACTGATCCTTTCATGCTCTTGTCCCAGTGGGTTGAGGCACAGCAGCAGGAGGGAGAAAGATCCTGTAACATGATCTGTGCATGGCAGTGTGCTGGTCTCCAAAGCTGTGTCTCTCTTGACTCTAAGGTTGTTGGCAGAGGTAATACCTTTCATTAGGCCGAGTGGGATATTTGGCAGACAAGTGTTTAAGTGCACAAACTTTTCCTAAGACCTGTGTGAAATGCAGAACACTTCAAAGCTAAGTGAGGACATTTCAAATATGAAAATTATTCCTGGGTAACATTTGATGCTGCTCTCGTGTGAAAAAGCAAAGCATCATCTTTTAGAAGAGGGCTTCCACATCAGTTTTCAGATATAAAAATATCCTCCCTGGATATCTGGGTACTGGTTGACATCCACATCTTTTGGCCTTTTATATCCGAATCCCATGGCAATGCTGATACCCCAGCCTTGCTCGCCAGCAGGGATGGGTGAGCAAGACTGACGGGCATTAGTTCCTGCTGACAGAGGCTGCAGTGCAGGGTCCCCTCCTGCCTCTGCTTGAAAGGGGGAGCAGATTTTACGCCCTTCAGTTGCAAAAGGAGCGCTTGGCTCTGCTGTCAGCACTGGCCTTCGGCTCTGTAGATCTCACTCATCTGCAAAGAATTGCTACACACTGACCTAGATACTCTGTCAGCTCTGCTGCAGCGCTGGCTCGGTGACGGGGCTGCCATTCCCTGGTCGCTGCTCTGCCCTATATCCCTCCTTGGAGGTAAAAAATACAGAGGGGCAAATGAGTGTTAATCAGAATAGCACTCTCCTCTGATGTTTTTTCTGGAAAAGAGGGTTTCCCAGGGAAGTCTGTTGCCTTAATATTCCCTTCCCTGCCACCTCATTATGTTGCTCTGTTTGAGAAATCCTGCCACGTTTCAAACATAGACTGTCCTCAAGAGAAGAGAAAACGTGCAACTTTCATTCCCTCCTTTCCTTGCATCTCCACTGTGTGCTCCACAGTACATCAAAAGAGAGTGGGGAGGGCAATTTATTAGATAAAGAGAGGGCCCCAGAGCGAGGGTAGGCCTGGACCTCTGACAGCAGCCATCTGAGACGTCCACACTGTACTCCATTGGTGTATGATTAACAGGGCACTCATCCAGTTTGAGAAGCACAGCTGATAGTATGAAAGTGTCTTTGTAGCTGCTGATCTGTATTAGATAGGAAATGAAAAAAGCCAAAACCCAAACCCTTAATTGCCTCTAAAATTTCACTAGAGTCAAATTAGATTGGCAAATCTAATTCTTCCTCTAGAAAAATTAACAGCTGTAAAGGTACATCTGAGATTACCCATAAAGGGGAATGTTCATCTTTGCAATCTTGCTGTAGAGCACTACAGAGTCAAAACCAGCAGAGGATCCCGGAAGGCAAACTTTGTCCTGTGTGCTTGCTTCATGTGACAGTGTTAGGCATCAAGAAGAGAAAGCATCCTGCAGCATGGTGAAGTATGGTAGTGCACTGCCTTGCCTCCCTCAGTAGCTTAAGGAAAAAACCTGCCTGGACCTAGAGACTCCCCTGGTTGAACCTGGTGTACTACAGAGTGCCCTGGATAAACTCCTGCCCTCCTTTCTGCTCTGAACTATGGAGAGCCACAGGCTCTGTTCTCTGCTCCTGCACACTGCTTTCTGAAGGGAATTATTCAGACTAAAATGCTCCAACTTTGTCTCTTGTGTCTTTGTAACAAGGGTACTGCAGCCTCAGAGGGACCAGTCACCCCTGTGCGCTGCGTCAGAGCCATCCCAACGGGATGCAGGATGTGGTTTTGGCTTGGTGTTGGTGAGACAGGGCAAACAGTCCTACCAGTCATTCAGCCACGTATGACAGGTTTTCTTGCAGATTGTTCAGATAAGTGGGAAAATACTGCAAGGCAAAGCAATAAACATAGTAATTCACTCAGCAGGATTTGGAGGCCAAGGTGAAGAATGCAGTAGCAAGGGAAAACAATGTGACTTTACTCTGAGATATATGAAAATACAACATTGGCACTTGTTAATTTCTTAGAATTATGAAAAGAGTTCTCTATAGACCAGTGTCTAGAGGGAAGTGAGGGATTCCTTGAATTCAGGAGGCATCTTTCTCTAAGAAGGGGAAAGCAAACAGGAGGAGAGCTCTGACAGCCCTGCCCTGTGCTCTTTGGCTGATGCATTCCTTCACGAGGTAATAAAAATAATAGTGTTTTCAGAAGTGCTCTTGCTGACAGCATGACTGTGACAAGGGATGGTCTGGGGAGATGTCAGCCCCATTTTCACCTCTCACCACTGCTTTTTTCTCCCTCACTAAGCTCTGATTAAAAGCAATCTTTCTTTTACATCCACAGTCTTGCCAGGGCCAGATCCTCAGCCGCACAGTGAAGCCTGAGTGATGGCGCTGGGTGAGAGGAGGGAGTGATGGGAAAGCTGGGTGGCAACAGGGCTGTGTTTTGAGAAGAGCTGCCCAAGGAACAAGTGTGTACAAGATGTTTTCCCACTCCTTGAAGACTTCAGAGCATTTCTGTGGTTAGGGAGAGGGCCTGGACTCCATCAGAACAAGACCAGCAGCCTCAAAAGCCAGTGCCTGGCTGACTTCTGCTATATTGTCAGGTGACAAAGGACACAACACCCTAAACATTCGGTGCCTGTGTCACAGGGCTGCATTTCAGCTGAGCAGAACCAGCCTGAGCTGGAGCTTACCCTGGGACAAACCAGCCAGATCTTTTGTTTCCATCTTTCCCACCCAGGGCTCCTGAAGATGACAACTGACTTGCTTTCCCCACTTCTCAGTGCACACTGCAAAGCCCATCTTCCCCAGGCTGCAAAGGCAGGCAGAGCGATGTGATCAGATATGGGGGTCTGGAAGCTGTGGGATGTTTTAAGCAGGCATGGATCATTTGGCAGCATAGACAATATTTGTGATATTTTTTTGAAGGAGAGCCTATTATGAGAAGCTTTTGTATTCAAATTGTTTGAATTACAGTATCCCCCTGAAAAATGTTGGTGTTTTAATTTTGTATAAGAACTACAAAACATACTGCAGAGCACTGCAGTGGCACCAAGGGATTAAAAATAAGGTAATATGAGAAGCTGGTGAGCTGGTTTGTCTGTCACCTGCCAAGAGTTTAACTTCCAGTTGAATTCAGCAACTTTGCTCTTAAAGGTACTGAGCTTTCCAAGTAATAAAGTAAATGCAAAGATGGCAAGCAGTGCATTTAAAACATTTATCAGGGCCAGAGCAATAAATATATTCCATTCCCCCATTTCTATTTATGAATTTACTTAAATGCAGCTAGATGATGTAATTTTACAAAGAACATAATATTATTCCCTCACAGTAATCATGCATTGATTGCCAATGCAATCTGAGTGGTACAGAAAAAGAAATAGGAAATACACATCCAGATTTTGTTATTTCTCTCCCACTGTGATCACTCATTGGACTTCCTTTCCTTCTCTGTCCCATCTCTCCATTGCAGGCAAGAAGCTGAGTGTGCCAAGGAGAAATGGTGGTTTGCAATGCATCTGTGCCACGCATTGTATGAAAGCTGGTCCTCCTGCTCTTACGTGGACCGTACACACAGGGCACATTACATGCATGGCTGCTACAGCATAAGCTCTTAGGAGCACTATGTCAGCTTGTCTTCTGATATCCCAATAAAACAGAGCTTTTGGAGCATAATTTTTCAAGATGTGAGTGGATATTTCTACCATTGCAGTCCATGTAGTGGCTGAGCCTTTTCCTGCCAGGTGGCTATTTTATTTCTTCAGGATTCAGTGCATTTTCTCTTGATGCTAGTGACAGGTCTCCCACTTATGATGCTGGGAGGAGGAGCTGTCTATTGTCGTAACAGCATATTGTATGCAAAATCTGATAACGAGGATTTTGTAAATATGGCACTGCATTGATTTAGCTGATTTAATGCTTTTTCCATGCCTTGATCTGGAGCAACTTAGTCCTTGGAACTAAATTACATTTTGCAAGTGATCGAGACACAGAAGAAAAGAAAAAGAGGGATGGTTTGGATGCTGGGGGCTGCTACCTTTCACAAATGATAGGAAAATTTCTGTCTCGAGAGACACTGATGCTTTTATCTGCAGGTGGGAGCTGGGAGGCAGGAGCAGGTGCCTCTCACTTTGGCAAGCTCTGTGAAAGCCTGTACCACCTCTGAGTGGAAAGCTCTGCGGGCGCTCCTGCACTCCATGAATCGTTGCCAGCTGTCAAAGGGAAATGGTTCAGCACTGAGTCTCCCAGGCTGTGTTCTGGCCAACATTCAATCGGATTACAAACCAATTGCTCCAGCCGGTCCCAGAAGCAGGAAACCACCGTCAGCTGGCTGGTGGGATCTGGTCTCCGTGACAGACAGTGCTGCTTCTCGCCTGCTGCAGTCTGTTAGCAGCTGTCCCTTCTTCCCCAAGCTGTGGGAATGGTGAAATTCCCAAAACAAAAGTGACAAAAAAAACCTTACAAAGGGAGTAGGAGAGGACTGAAAGCTGTGCTACTGCAGGCAGCTTTTCCCCAGGCACTGATTTCTTGGCAAAACATCTTCTGAATCTCTAGGCACCACATCCTTCAAAAGCACTACTGCTCACGTGCAACTGAAATAGCAAATATCTGTCACCAAAGTAAGAAACTGCTTTTATTTCACATATATTTTGGCTGCGGACAGCCTGCGTGTAGATTATCATCGGTATCAAGTCAGAGACCTGGCCAGTTCTATAGGCAGCAAGACTAATGATAATTTGTAATCAAAACATTCTGGAAAAAAGAGAGAAGTTTCTTATTTGGGGACTAAATCAGGCTCTGGCGATTTGTGATTAACAGCAAGACACTCATGAGAAACTGATTGCCACACGTACACCTTGTTGTGTTTCTTCCTTCTCCCTCTTCAGCACTGACTGCTGCAACATGCTGAAGGACTTGGTGATGGATCTGAGTAGGATTCCTCAGCCAGAGCCCCACTTCAGCCCATTTGTAAGCTGGGCCTTCAGCAGGATTCACTTGGAAGAAGAAGTCATCATCTTCACTTCATTTGTGGGCCCAAAGCAGTGAAGCCATCACTTGTCAGTCTTGTCAACGTTTTAAGACTAAGTGTAAATGTGTGTAAGGCAGCAGAATGCTGTGGAGGCACTTGGTTGATCCCACTGAGTAAGAATCATAGAATAGTTAGGGTTGGAAAGGACCTTAAGATCATCCAGTTCCAACCCCCCTGCCATGGGCAGGGACACCTCACACTAAACCATGTCACCCAAGGCTCTGTCCAACCTGGCCTTGAATACCACCAGGGATGGAGCACTCACAACTTCCCTGGGCAACCCATTCCAGTGCCTCACCACCCTTACAGTAAAGAACTTCCTTCTTTTATCCAATCTAAACTTCCCCTGTTTAAGTTTTAACCCATTACCCCCTGTCCTGTCACTACAGACCCTAATGAAGAGTCCTTCTCCAGTATTCTTATAGGCCCCCTTTAGATACTGGAAGAAGAGCCAGTGGTGGAGTGTTACCAGGCCGAGGCAGTAGGCTGCCTCTGGGCTCCTTTGCTCTGAAGGGCTGAGACCTGGAAGAGTGAAAGGTAGAGAAAAACAGGGAGATATGGACACCTGAAGTATAATCAGGAGCCTCTTCCCATGAAAATGATGGGGGAGGGAAGCTTTGATTCCTCTCTCTCCCACGCACCCTCACTTCCCATTCTTTTCCTCTCTAGTCCCATGGGAAAAACATTGCTATTAAAGGAAAGCTCCAGGGAGCTAAGATATACATAAGGATTCTTTGGAGGAAAACTTGGCTCTGGTGAATTCAACAGGAGTTTTGGAATCAACTTCAATGGAGGCTGAATTTCACATTTCCAGGACTGTACAAAGCATTGCCTGCTCCATGCTGGCCTTTCTATCACAACCATATGGAGCCTGGTACTGTCCTGTGAAATTCACCATTCTTTTGTGATAAATCACATCCTTCTCTCAAGGGGTAACAACAAATAAATACCCCTAAATCATTCTGAGAATGGCATCAACAGTTTCATGTATCACTGGGCACCATGACCAGACCTTTGTATTTTCAGTGGGAAACTGCTGGAAATCAAATGTTTCTGCAGAGGTGGTTTATTTGAGGGACATCTGGAATATTCCAGTGATCCAGACTTGGTTATTTTTGGTGTCCCTTTCCATAGGGAGCTGGCAACCTATTTAAATCCAGGGGACCATGACTAGTTATTCAAGTTTTGCTGTGCTGGATTTGTGCTGTGTGTGTTTTGGAAACAAAGTCAGCTCTGAGCAGCAGATAGAGCAATGCCATAGCCCACATCAGTGAAAAGCTCTTGTGATTATGTTTTTTTCCCTCTTCCATTTTCAGTGAAGGCTGTGCTGTCTTCTCCCTCTTCCTATATTTTATTGCCAGCGTGGAATGCTTTAAAAATGCCGTTAAGGAATGTGTTACCCAGTAGGGTTTAACACTGCGTTTCACTCCCTATGCTCTTTCCAACAGCAGTGAAGTTCTGAAGCACCGTTCTGATGATTGAAAGAGCACAAGTATTTTCTCATTTGTTAATGTAACTCTGGGGCTATTGACAAGAGGCTTCTAATGTAACATGCAGAGCCCACGTTTCCTTAAATGCACAGTGACTTTGACATGAGTGCCCTGATTTTCCGAGGTACTTGAACATCTGAGAATCCCAAGCTGACAGCCTTCAACTTCTCAGCAAATGAGACCAGACACTGGAGATTCAAAAGCATGGTCCAAAGAATGAGCCACCCACATCTATGAAGTCCTCTCTCCTCATCCCCACTTTCCTTTCCCATTCCTGGGAGAATTCGGCTGATTTCTTCACTTCTGCCTTCCAAAAGCACTTCTGGAGCCATTATTTCACCACCCTGGAAGGGGCCTGCGATCAGGGAGTGCATCCAGGCAGGGGTGACTCAGCAGTGAGAAGCAGTTGTCGGTTACAAACCTGCCTCCCACAGGGGCTCTGGGCAGAGTCATCAGCGTGTGCGTGTGAACACCTTGGCTCAGTCGGCATGATGCAGTGCAACATCTGCCTCCACTGCCAGTCTCTCACATATGCCCACATGGCACCGTCCTCTCAGCAGCCAGGCACCCACAGTGCAGCTCCCTTGCGATCCTATCCCAGCCTGCAGCAAAGCAGCCCTCACCTGCCTTTCCCCCTTCTGGTCTATATCCCCCTGGAGACCTCTGCTGCTAGTAGGGTTGATCAGCTCTTTGGGAAACCCCTGGCAGAAGATAGGGCTGTAGTCCTCTGTACACTGTATACCTTTATACATTCTGATGATGTGATGACGTGAGGTGTCCCTCTTTGTCTCCCCCAAACTTTCCGTCATGCTGTTTTGGCTGTGTCCTTTGGGACAAGATAGTAGCTGCACAGGAGTGGGATGCTCAAGAGATATTTCCATTTCCACTGCGGACTCACCACATGAGGGTATAAAGGCAGGTAACTTCTCTGTTCTCTGTATTTAAAGACTAAAGAAGCAACTCTGACCTACTGGTATTAAAATAACTTAAGAGCCTGGGCAGTGCCTTATGAACTGATCATTGCCAGAAAAGGAAGACAAATATAAGCTGGAAAGAACATCCTTCCCTTGTCTTGTTCCATTGCCATCTAATTCCGATAACCTCTGCCTGCCTCACTGGGCCCTTGTATCTCACTTAGCACAAGCAAAACACTTGTTCATCCCACCAAGAGGCAGAATCCTGGTGCAATGCAGAGGAAATACTATCAGGTAGCTGTAGTTAAGAGCAAATTTCATTAGAAATATTGGTGAAAGACGGAGGAGGCAGATGATAAACCAAGGGCAAGCACAGTGTGTCCTGCAGAAGTCACTAGAGCTGCTTTGGTGTCTTCAGCAGGAGTCTGGGCCATTCTGTGGACCTCAGTCTTCTACTCCTGTGAGCAGTTCTGGAGGAGAATGGCTTTGAAATCCCTTTCAGACAGTTTTTGGCCAAAGTGCATCTGAGGTGCTACAGGTTATTAGAAATGTCCTTCGTGATACAGCTGCTCAGTTCTTTGTTCTGTGAGTTATAAGGGTCTGAAGCCTAAAGGCTGGTCTCCTCTCCTGGAAGAAGCACCAGTGGGATGCTGTATGCTTTAGCAGTCTGCTTCATTCCTTTCAGATGCTGTCTTGCTCCATGCAGAGGATGTCCTCAGTTCTGGAGTCTGTGTCGTTGACCAGATAAGCAGAGCATTTCCAGATTGCTGGGGGAAAAAGAGATCCTCATTCAGCAGTGCCACTTCATCTCAGCACCAATTTGAGCCCTCAGAGCTTGCTGATGCCAGCCAAAAGGAGGATAGACAACCATAGCTGTGTCCTACCTCGTTTCCAGTGGGTGTCATGGCTTTTTACTACAGACTTGCTGATTTCCATTGCCACCACTTCTCACGTGCTGCTGCTCCTTGACCATGCTATCCCTTTATTACAAAGACATCGACTGGTGGTGTAACATTTTCTGCTGTGAGAAACACAGGTCCTTGTCACTTGCATAAAGAAATTCCTACAGCAGAAGTCTATTTGCTTGTGCTTTCCTCTGTGTACATAACCTATAACTATTTTTATCCTGCCAGACACAGGCCTTTTATACTTATCTCTGCTTATTTTCAAAAACCTCAATATTTGGCACATATCGTATAGGTCTCGCTGATTCTGTGTTGCTTTTCTTCCCTATTCCCTTCATTCCTCGCCTCCTCTCCTCAGTGGATCCCAACCCATGGTCTCCTCCCACACAGGCACAGGCTGGTTTTAGTGTGATTTAACCTAGCCCATTCCCCAACCCCAAATTAACAGAACCGTCTCACAATAGTCAATCACAGTGCTGGTGGCTTATTTCCAGCTCTTAAACTTACAAACCTATTTATAGCTCAAAAGGCTTGAAAAGAGATCATTAGGGGAATACATTTGCAAATGCAGAACAAAGATCTGATTCTAGGGTTTTCTTTATGCAATTACTTCATGTAAATAACAACGCTTGACACCTGCTTTCCTCTCCCATATAAATCTCAGAGCAGTTTACATCCCTGCGTGCACTCAGCCCGAGTGCAGCAGAGAGGAGCTCTTCTAGAGGTTCTCAGACTGACATCATGCTCCAATCTACTGATGTTATTTTTGTTCTAAATCCACTGACTTGCTCTTGCTCTGTCTGCGACCCCACTCACGCTCTTCCTCCCTTCAGAGGCTGAAGCAGGAGTGAAATAGACCTTCACAGATTTGAATTATATCAAAAAGAGAGCTCTACAGTGCTCAGTGGTGACAGTCAATGGAGACCCTGAGCTCCTTGCTTTATTCTGAAGCCATTAAGCATTATCATTCATCTATAAAATATAGCACAGTTACACACTGATGCAGAGAGATGATTTTTCCCCCTATTCCTTCGTTTCCCTTCACTATTAATATAACATGAACATCACTGAGGCTCAGGAGCTCCATCCTAGTCCTGCTCTACAGTGACAACCTGGATATATTTATTGTGCAAACAATGCTTTGTCGTTTACCTTTGGTTCTGGTAAAACCTGCCAGCTTGCAGTTAGTGTTTGAAAACCAGTGCCAAGGTGGGAAGTTCATGCATTACTCATGGAAATGCACTTCAGAATTTCTCTTCTGGACCATGTCTTTACCCAGAGAAATCAGGACTCATTAAAACTGACAAACCCCAACAGGACTCAAGCTGAGAATTCAGCCACATGAGCTTATCATGAGCTTTTTATCCCCAAATTCGGATTGTTTCTGTTTCACTGTCACCCTTCAGCAATAAATGCCATTTTGCTGCTGGCCGTGAAATCTCAGCTGTGATGTGCACTGGTTTGCAGTTTCTTCTTGTGGATTTAGGCCAGTGTTACAAGGACGGTCATGTTGGCTTAACCAAGCAAAGCATCCACCTGCACCTGATGCAGCCCGACAGATATCTCAAACACTAGATATGTCCTTTCATAACTGTGTTTTCACAAGGCATTTTCTTTAAACGTGAAGCCCACGTTCTCCCAAGAAGTGCCTTTTGGTGAAGGACTGATTTTCTCTGAAACGTTTCTTCCTGCTGTGAATCAGTCTTTCCATTGAATCTTTACTGTGGGCCTTGATAAAGGTTTCAAAGTCCATTTTATTTTCCCTGAGCAATCACCAATATGCAGATCAGAGGGCTCATTCTGAAGAGTGCTGGCCGTGCTTGGGCAGCGCTGTGATTTGAGGACTCCTCTATTACCTAGATATAGCTTAGCAGAAACCTCACTGAGATTTCCCCTAGAAAATAAGGCAAAAATTAGCTTTGCCTGTGAAGCCCATTTTAGTCAAGATATTAGGTCTTGGCTCTGAGAATTCAAGTGTATCTTGTTGTCTTGGGTACCGTCTGGGTGAGGGAGTATAACATAGTGATAAAATGGGGACAAGGGTATATTAGATAGTAAGTGGGGTAACAAGTGGGGAGAGGAGCTAGAATCACAGTTCTTGAGGGCACCAGCAGCTATGACTTGGGGATGAGACCAGAAATGTGTCTGTAGCCATCAAGTGCACGTCTAACCTTGTCAGGTTCCACAAAGGTTTTCTTCTACTCCTGTGCAGAGTTTGACCTGGTTGTTGTTCTCACAGCTCCTGTAACGGGCTGGGTTAAAAACCCTCTTATCCTTGTAGTCCTTCAGTCTATTTGTGCAGGGCACAATCACTTTGAAACCATGATGGGCTTGGCACAAAGGTTCACTAAGATTCTTCCTTGTTGTGTTCACTGTGCTGTGTTTACATGTCCTTGTCCACAGCGTGTGCATCACCACTTTTATTCCAGCTCATCCTTTGGCCCAGCTACACCTCCTTTACACTGAGCAGAGACCTGCTGGCTCTGTGGAGGTGCCAGCTGCTCTTTAGGGCATAAAAAATTATGGCCCAGGATGGGGCCAAGCTGCTGATGAATTGCAGTCGTGGTGCCAAGTCACTGGTGACTCTCAAGCCTGTTGGCGACCCTCCTGGCTACACCTGTACTGGTGAGCTGGTGCCAGTGCCCACCCTTTGGTCCTGAGGCCAGCTGGCCGTGTTGCTAGTTTTAGCTTCCAAAACAAGTTTCCAGACTTCTCACTGTTAGTAGTCACAGGTCCAGGCTAAATCCTGAACCTTTGTTGAGGAGAGCACTGCTTACCCCAGGCTATAATCATACCACTCCAACAGCTTCACAGTGTTGATGTTATCACAGAATCCCAGACCGGTTTGGGTTGGAAGGGACCTTAAAGCTCATCCAATTCCAACACCCTGCTATGGGCAGGGACACCTTCCACTAGAGCAGGTTGCTCCAAGCCCCATCCAACCTGGCCTTGAGCACTGCCAGGGATGGGGCAGCCACAGCTTCTCTGGGCAATGTGTTTCAGTGTTTCATCATCCTTACAGGGAAGGATTTCTTCCTAATGGCTAATCTAAATCTCTCCTCTTTCAGTTTAAAGCCATTCCCTCTTTTCCTATCCCTACATGCCCTTCTAACAAGTCCTTCCCCAGATTTCTTGTAGGCCCTTTTTAGGTACTGGAAGGCTGTTATAGGATGTCCCTGGAACCTTTTCTTCTCCAGGCTGAACAACCCCAACTTTCTCAGCCTGTTTTCACAGGAGAGGTGCTCCATCCCTTGAATCATCTTCACTGCCCTCCTCTAGACTTCCTCGAGCAGGCCCATGTCCATCTTGCGCTGGGGGCCCCAGAGCTCAATGCCGTACTCTGGGTAGGTTCTCATGAGAGCAGGGTGGAGGGGGAAAAGGTCCCAGTGTCTGGTCTCTGGTACTGTTCGTGCCAAAAAAATGCCCACTTACTCTGTGGTTTAGCCATATCTTATTTCTAAACATGAAGGATTTTTTTCCCTGCTGGTTGTTGAGATTCCGTGAACCCCTCATTTTCTCCCAGTTTTCAGTGCACGTCCCCTTGGCAGATCTGCAGTGACATTATGTGTGTGTCTTCATCACAGGTAAAAAGGGGCAGCATTCTCGCAGTGGTATGACAGAAATCTCTTGTTTAAGGTCAGCACTTACCTTACTTATTCACAGCAAGATAATCCCAGGCTGGTATTTCTGCAAGGTGGACACATCCTATGCCCCAGGCCTTCTGAGGTTTGAAGATCCTGGAGGATCAGGTCCTAAATATCTCACTAAAGGTCATGAGGAAGGTCTGAACAGGATATGGAAACAGCTCTTCCCAGTCCCAAGCAAGCACTGCAGCCCCTGGAGCACATTTTTATCACATTTAACAGGTGGTGGGGCCTTTATGTCCTTTACATTTTCTTCCCTCTGTAATAACAGAGTGGTGGTTCAATCTGCCTGCACTAGCACAAGCAAAAAATGAGATGAGGCAATTGCCTCTTAATAACACAGGGTTCACCCCTCTCCCCACTTACTAAAACAGCAATATTTTAATGCAGCCTCTTCACTTCCTGCCATGCTTGGATCCTGGGGTCTTGTTTTTGCTGTCACATCCAGTCTGTGAAGAGAGGCAGGTTCTGTATCTTAGTCTGCAGGATGATTTTCTGTTTGTTTTTCTGAATGACTTTGCCCAAAGGAGTGATAATAAAAAAATGTGAAAGCTGGTGTCAAAATAATTTCTCTGAGCCTGGAACATACTCTTTTTTTTTTCATTATTCTTGACATTCTCTTTTATTTGTGGCTCTTCCCCTCTCCACTTACATTCAGCGACAAAGTAAAACGTGTAACACAGATAATTCTGCTTTCAGATTTCTTGGCTAGCACTGACCCACTCCCATGTAGATATGTTGGAGCTCTGCAAACCACATATGGTCTTTGTGCTCCTGTGATTTATGAAGACAGGATTTTCCATTCACAAGAGCATGGTTCGGTGGAAGATGCTTTGACTCTTGCTATTGGGAGTTCTCTTGCTATTTAAGCAGAGCTAAATGGTACAGAAGCATTCCAGAAGCAACCTCATCCAGCAGCAAAATAGAAGGAAATGCTCCATATTGTCATACAGATTATACAAAATCAATCTTGTTAGGTCCTTCCATTCTGCTGGCCAAGTGGGGTGATGCTTCCAAGAGGAGGGGAGCTAACCCGGTGCTTCATGGTTGTTAATCATTCAGATGGGAAGCTGAGATCTGGAAAGGAACAGACCCTCCCTCTGCAGCTTTCAGAAGGATGTCAGGGTGTCTGGTGGTGTTATATGGTGGTGAGGAACTGAGAGGAAGAGGGCCCATATTGCTGAAAGGCTGCTTATAGCGATGTTGGGTGTTACTTGTCCCTGGCAATGTGGTCTGTAACGATGCACCAGCGTTACTGCTCCCACTCTGTCTGTGTGGCTCTGGAGGCCCTTATTGTGTAGGCACCAGGAGCCAAACAGCAGCTGAGTGAGGCTGGAAGGGCTCAGGAGTAGATGACATTGTTTCAGTGCTAATCCCCAAATAAGGCTGTTTTAGGAAGAGAGCTCATCTCATGGTGACACCATATAGCATATAACCTTTGGCACACCAGGGGGATGGTTTCTGCCGCTCTCAGCTCTCTTCCTCTCTTCCTAAAGTGCTTTCTCCTTACCCGAGTTTTAAAGTGCCTTGTAAAGGACCTGGTCTGCTTCTAAACACATGCACGAGTGTTTCATAGGTTTAGCAAAGGCAGGAGCTGGTTTTTGAATGAGTGCCATCACTCTGGCGTTTGCATTTGGGAGACAGCATCTCTGAACCTGCATGTCAGGGGTGACATCTCAGGGTCAGACGTGGTTTTGCTGGCACCATGGCTCTATTCCTGGGTATGGCCAATTCTTCCAAAGGCAGTGCAGGGTAAGCATTTGTGCTCTCAGCCTGGATAAAATGTAGGCTGATGTGTTTCACCCTTCATATTGACGTTACAGCAGCTCTTTAAACAACGTATTAGATGAGATACTGACACGGAGGACTCGGTGGTCCAGCTCCTGTATCCCAAAGACAGTGAAGAAGGTGGACAAATGCCAGTTGTGCCATATGGGGTTGTTTTAATTCAGCTATGTCTTTAATATCCACAGCTGAAAAATGGTTAAAGTGAAAGCTATTGTTTGCTCTGGGATCCTTGGCAAACCATAGTGCCACAAAGACTGTAAAGATGGATTGGATGCTACAGTCAGTTGGTCTTAGTGAGCTCCTGAAGTCACTGCAAAAATAGGATTTGCCTTGTGTCTGAAAAGGGACTGGGAATCTCCTGTCATCTGTCCCAGTCTCCACCACGGATCTGAAATGGTGGCTTAGGGCAAGGCTTTTTCTGCCTCACTGTTCTGCTGCCTGAACTAAGCAGTATTTCCTGCCTTGCAGAAGTGCTCGTGCTGGGAGGTTAGCAAGGTGTTCCGAGAGCCTGGCATGCAGTGGCCACGGCTGGGAATTCCAAGGACCGTTCACTGCAAGGGCAAGCATTAAGTAACTGATTCTTTTTTTTCCCATTGTGGCTATTGCTGTCTGGCAGCAGCAGTGGGAACACAGCAGTGAATGCGTCATCCCGGTCCTGTGACATAAGGGAGGAGCTGAGCCACAGGTTGAGTGCAGGAGACTTATGCAGGTAGGATGCACAAATGGTTTTTAATGGAGATAAACATGTTTTCCTGGCACGGGTGATGCACACAGTGTGAACAGGTCACAGAACTGCTTTGGGCAGACACACTCTGCAATACTGTTTGTTTGGTTTCAAACCAAACAGGGAGTGATTGGGACACACAAAGGGATTGGCAGTGCCACCATGAGAAAATCATACAGGTGCTCACACGTGCTGTGCTCACTGAGTTCACACACCAGGACACCTCTGAAGCTTGGATCTGCGAAGAGAACTGGGGCTTCAGATCCTGAGACATTCAGTGGGGTTTGAGTGCCCAGCTCCTTTCAGCATTTAAAATAACATCAACTTGATAATGATGCTGGGGATGGACCCTTCATTAGGGACTGTAGTGATAGGACAAGGGGTAATGGGTTAAAACTTAAACAGGGGAAGTTTAGATTGGATATAAGGAAGAAGTTCTTTACTGTAGGGGTGGTGAGGCACTGGAATGGGTTGCCCAAGGAAGTTGTGAATGCTCCATCCCTGGCAGTGTTCAAGGTGAGGTTGGACAGAGCCTTGGGTGACATGGTTTAGTGTGAGGTGTCCCTGCCCATGGCAGGGGGGTTGGAACTTGATGATCTTAAGGTCCTTTCCAACCCTGTTCTATGAGTCTATGATAATAATGAATTTAATACAAAAATGGACACTAATGATGCACTTTCCTCAGTTCAGGCCAATGATTCCTGGCTTGGGCTGCAGGAGGTGTCGTCAGAGGAAGTTAAAGGTTGGTGTTGGTAGTGGCCAAAGGCCCAGCTCCAGTCTGGCTCCCACAGCAAAGGATCAGATGTGCTTCAGAGGAGGATAAATCAGGCACCTGTAATTACCTATGGGCAATCAGGCAAGGAGGGAAACTGTTTCCTGATTGCACAGCAAACCATTTATTTGTCACAGATTTGGGGCTGATTAGCTCCTTTCTCAATATACAGAATTCCCTTCTTATTTGTCCCCAAAGCCCAGCCCTGCAGTTCACCAGACGATTCCTCCCAGCAGGTAATTCTGATTAAATAGGAAGTGCTGTGAGGTCCCTTCAGGACACAGGGATGACTAACTCTGCAGCAAGTATCTCCTGTATGGATCAAGCAATGAGCTTCAGCCGAAAGCCCCAGAAGCAGGTTCTGACCTCCTTTACACCAACTGAAGTTTCAAGTAACTCCAGTAGCTTCAAAGGATCTATTTGTCCTTTTAAGTATAAATAGTCCAAACTCTGAAGTGACCTCCCTGCTGCATGCAGCAGCAGCTATTTTATAATAGGCAAGGGTGAATCCTACCACAGCTGGTTTCAGAATTATCTCCTTTTTAGACCCTGCTCTGGCAAACAAGGTGCAACCTGGGGTAACCTGGCCTACTTCAAGCTGTGTTTTATGTAAGATCACCTTCTTGAGCATTCCAAGTCTGAGGTGCTCCTAGGTGAGCTGCCATCCCACCTTTCTCTCAGTAGGGCGATTCATAAACAGTACCTGTTCCATCCCTTGCTGGCAGACAGTGGAGGGACCAGTAATTGAGATTGTTGAAACAAATGGCCTAAATTCTGCCCTTCATCACCTCTTAACCAAAGTGGTGAATGGGATGAAGGAGGAAAAAGAGAACAATTGAGGCAGAAGACTTAATGAGTAAATTTAGGTAATTTCAGTATATGAGTTAGGGTTTACTACTGTTGTTGTATGAAGATAGGCTGAGAAAGTTGGGGCTGTTCAGCCTGGAGAAGAGAAGGCTGCGTGGAGACCTCATAGCAGCCTTCCAGTATCTGAAGGGGGACTATAGGGATGCTGGGGAGGGACTCTTCATTAGGGACTGCAGTGACAGGACAAGAGGTAACGGGTTAAAACTTAAACAGGGGAAGTTTAGATTGAATATAAGGAAGAAGTTCTTTACTGTAAGGGTGGTGAGGCACTGGAATGGGTTGCTCAAGGAAGTTGTGAATGCTCCATCCCTGGCGCTGTTCAAGGCCAGGTTGGACAGAGCCTTGGATGACATGGTTTAGTGTGAGGTGTCCCTGCCCATGGCAGGGGGGTTGGAACTTGGTGATCTTAAGGTCCTTCCCAACCCTAACTATTCTGTGATTCTATATGTTGGACTGGACACACACTACCTGGATCCCTCACTACTGCAGTCAGTAAATGTCAGGAGCTATCTTGGTACATTAGAGAGGGACACAGCACATGGGACATTGCTGCATTATGCTTTAGAACAAGATTCACCTTTCCTCCTTCCCTTCAGTATTGCCTGCAGGAAGACTTTGGCCACCCCTGGGTTTTAGATTATAAGCAGAATGAGGCTCATTTTCCACCTGAAGCTTTCCATGGCAGGATGTAATTGTCAGACACTGCTCTACTCACTCCGTGCACACTCTCTGACAGCGCTGACATGTTTATTATGATTAATAAGCATTATTATTCATAGCACAGTGGCAGCTAGAGAATCTGATGATACATTAGGGCCCTGTTACCCTAGGCTTGGTAGAAACTCATAGGCAGGAGCATTAATTTAAACAGACAAAGAACGTTATTGCTGTTTTACAGGTGAGACCCAGGGAGGTTTGAGAGTTCGCCCCATGCCTCACAGGAAGCTTTGCAGAATCAGAAGCTGAACTCACATCCCAACCTCTCATTTTACCGAGATGGAAACGTAGGAGGGAAACCACTTGTGTGCAGCCTCGTGCATCGCAGGATACACACTCATTCCCCCAGCCCTGTAGAGCTGAAGCACTTCTGGGGCTCTTTTTGTTGTTTGGGGTTTTGTTTCCTTTCCCTGGTGATTATTTCATCATTTCTTCCTTGACTCGCAGCTCGTGAGTCACTGCTGTACAGAGAGAATTTCTACTCAAAGCACCCAGTTTTAATCAGAAAATCAAATGCTATTTCCTTTTTTGTCCTTCCCCTTTCTTCTTTTTACCAAAGCAGTTACAGATTGGGCCCAACAAAACAAAACCCAAGATCCATTTGGGCTAACATTTGATTGTCTTTTGCTGCACCCGATAACCAGTTCACCTTCACAGAAGCCTGTGCGAAGCGTTTTAACACCCTTTTACTGCTAGATTTCCTCGTCCTGCTGGCAGTGGGGTAAATCTTGCCCTCTACAGGGCATTTTGTATGGTCATAGAATAGAATCATCGAATCGTAGAATCATAGAATAGTTAGGGTTGGAAAGGACCTTAAGATCATCAAGTTCCAACCCCCCTGCCATGGGGAGGGACACCTCACACTAAACCATGTCACCCAGGGCTCTGTCCAGCTTGGCCTTGAACACTGTCAGGGATGGAGCATTCACAGCTTCCTTGGGCATCCCATTCCTGTACAAATATCTCAGGCATCTCTCTCTAGTTCACTTGAAACATGAAGTGAAGTCTCCTGGTCTCTACCTCAATGACTCAGCTGAGATTAAAATTCAGATTGAAAATTTAGCCCCATCCTGTTGTTCCTGACTTTGCTGACTGCTGTGTCCTGTGTGAGCAGCAGCTCGAGACCCACCTCTGTATCCTGAGCTATGTCTGACCATGACTATGCCATCCTGGTTTTCCTCATCTACCCCTGCTTCAGCTTGTATTTTCATCCCCCTCCATGCAGGTGGTTTGTGTTCTGGTGTTGGAGAGCTCCTGGCTCTCAGTACTGCTATGGCATGAGCAGAAATCATTTGCTGCTGTAATTTGGGTGAGAAATGAGGTGATGAAAGATTGTCTCTGCATCAGTGTTTGATTTTCTCTTAGCTGCCATGCTCCATTTCCTGGCATCCTCAGCCAAATGGATGTGATTATAACCCTGCCAGTCTACACCATGCTGTGGATCCTGTCCCAAATGAGACTGTGAGGTACACTCTCTTCAAAACCTTTGGCAGAGCCGTGGGCCATATGGGGACAGCCAGGCACTCAGCACATAACCTGGGACTGTTCCTGCTGTTGTCCCATGTGTAGGATTTCCACAGATGGAGAGAAGTCATCCCCTCTTCCTCCAGAGAGACAGCAGCTCTAGGATACCCAATACAAGTATCATCTCTCATGGCTGCTCGGAGTAACATGGCTTTCTCTGGAGTAACAACCTCAGTGGATAGCGAGTGCTGTGGATTGGTAAGACACACGGGCCTGCGATCACAGAGGCTTTACTTCAGCAGGGGAACAGGTTAACAGAGCCCACAAAGAGCATCTTCTGCTGCAAGGGCAGAGAATGGGTGGAATAGCAATGCCCATGCTGGAGCTGGCTGGGAAACAGAGGCTTACAACACTCATCTCCAGAAAGCTAAAACAGGAACGCGGTCTCCAGGCAGTGACTGGAGATAGAACAATGTACAGTTATTAATGTTCCCACACTAAAAAGCCTGTGGTACAGATTCCCTCCAGAAAGATGACCCTTCAGCACAGAGAGTGCTTTTCAGCACTGCTGCTCCAGCTCACACATCACTTGGCGTGGGTATCTTTTCCAGGCTATAAATACAGAGATGCCAGTTCCCTGGCAAATGTGGTCAAGGGCATGGACTTGGGGGTCCTTTTGCCTCAAGGTGTACTGCAAACCAGTGCACCAAAGCGCTTTCCTCGCTGTGATGTTACTTTTTGCAAGGGAGGTAAAATGAAACAGACTTGTCCTCAGAGGAAAGAGCAGATGGTAAAATCTCGAGGCGTGCTGTGCTTTGAGTAAAAAGAAGGCTTCATGAATGACTGGATCTGAAGGCAAAGACTAGATATGATTTAGTCTGTTCTCTCCTATTCCCTTTATTTAAGGACAACAGCTGACTGCTTTTCCACTGTATTTCAAAGGGCTGCTTCAAACGGCATGTTTCAACTGCAGGCATCTGCTCCTTCCAAAGTACTCAACAGCTTCGGTGCTTCATAGTGCCATTTACAGCTGTGAATTTCAGGGCACTAAGCACCCAAACCTGGGGCTTCCAGGTCAATACTCAAGTGTGGAGACACTTGAAAATACATGGTGTCTTGAAGACAATGGACTTCTTTTTTTGCTTTGGAGAAATGAGACTGTTTGACTCTTCCTGTTTCAGTGCTGAGCATATCAAACATCCACAGATTTAATCATAGATGCCAAGGAGTAAACCAGCATATAATGGCTATGAAGAAGCACATTCATTAACACTGTTGAAAGCCTTCAAGTCTGCTCATCTATACCCTGAGGACCCACTTCCTGGGGAGGTTAACATTCTTCCTACATCTCTCATCTCTCTTGGGCACAATAGACCCACGTCCTCCTGAGTGCAAGAGAGGTAGCTCTTTGTGGGCCATCCACTGAATACACACAAGGAAGGGATCTTTTGTGCCATTTTCCCCCCAGCATCCTCATGACTATAGGTCCTGATAGACCGGAAGTTAAAAATGAGGTGTTTCTAACTGTAGCCTCAGCTTACAAACCCCGTGGTGTTTGCATTTACCTTGACAACAGTTGCATCGCAGTTCCCTTATCTTTGTGGTTTTGCTTTCTCTGTGCTTTGGTATTTTAAACCAAGAGCTGATGTCGAAATACAGTTGGGTTTTCCCGAATTTCCCACTTTGATGGCAATCTTGTCAGCCCTCCCAAACCACAAAGACGTACGGGTGGTGAGGGAGGGAGTCCTCTGAATGGCCAGACACTGCAGGGAGCGGCGCTGACTGTTCGGCATGTCTCACTCTGAGTCACTGCTGAACCCATCAGTGGAGATGGGGAAACAGCCCTCACCAAGGTGCCACGTTCTGAATGAAACAGAAAAAACACACCTTGGGTTCACAGACATTACACTTCTGGGGAGAACATTTATTAATTAATATTGCTATTTAAAATGAAATAATAACAGAAGAAAGAGCTCCACTGGATCAAGAAGTCCTGTGTGGAGCAAGGCTGAAACATTACCTGGTGTCAGATCCCTTCAAACACTGAGTGAGGAGTTCACCAATTAGCAGCGTGTGTGAAGCGCTCTCTAACCTAAGCTCAATTTACTCAGTACACATTATCTGATGGCTTGGAAGGGAGAGAGAAGTTGTCTCCAGGAGGCAGAGGGTTACTGTGATCTAATGTCTGCATTTGCAAGGCCAAGGCTTCTTACTCATCTCTTAAATGTCTGCTTTAAGTTGTATTATTTTTAAAAGTAGCCACGAGACAGATCTGTAAAGCAATTCCTTGTAAAAACCCCTGGTTCAAAGGCTAGCATCCAAGATCTCGCTGTAAATACATTCTGTGCATTTCAGATTTCCCCTGCAGTAAATAATGGATTAAGTCATGAAAATCGCATTCTAATGAGAATGACATGAGGCTTTAATGAGAGCAGAGCTAGGACAATGAAGCCAATTTTCTGCTCTCCTCAGAAATCAGGCTAAGGTTTATCATTAACATATCATGACCAGCTGTAAGGAAGTGATTAATGACAGCAGCAAGATAATAGCAAGGTGCTTGTCGGTGTTACTGTGGTTGATGTATTGATGCATCACAAGAATCTGAGCTTTGTCAAGAGAAGTTTACATTTCAAGGGAGAAGACTAGAACAGAAAGTCCACAGCAGCCAACCTCAGGAGCACCCAAACTACAGGCTGATGACAAGGTGCACTCTTCCCTACCCTTTTTGTTTAAGCTGAACCCTATAGCATGGTAAGTGACTATAGTAAGTAGCTGCTGGCACTCCCCCCAGAGGAAGCAAGCTCAGAGCTCTGCTCCGCACTCCTAGTGCTATTTGTACATTTCATAGCATGAAGCAGGACCACAGAAGTCTCTGGTGCAAGGACCAACCATTACTGCTCATTCCCCACCCCAGAAGAGCCCAAACAACATGCCACAGAGGCAGGACCTTTTCTGCTTGCCTTCTCTTGCAGATGCAAAGCACAGCTGCTGAAGATGCTTATGTGGAAAGGAAAGCTGTGGCTTTGAATTCTCTTAGGTTGAGGGTGCAAAACCCAGGTCTTGCCATTTCTGGGGAAGTGAACAATCTAGTGGGGTTTTGTGCGAAAAGAAGGAATTCTCTGTTCCAGTTATGTTCCGGAAGAAAAAAAGCTAGCTGGTGACCTCTACCCATAAGGGAGGATTATGGTTATGTATGGAAATACTCTGCAAATTCCCTTCTGGATGATTGCCCTTGCCACTTCCTGAGTGTCCCCAGGGGACACCAAGGCATGCAGTAACCTTTCACTCTCTTCCAGTCTCTGGATTCCACAGGAAGAAGACATGGGTGCACAGGTTGGAAGTCATGGTCCATGCCAGCCAGATCCTGGCTTGGCTGTATGGAGGACTATAAGATGAATTGTGGCTCATCAGCATTCTGCAGCCAGACAGCCAGATGTACCAGGTACAAGCTGACACCTAATTTGGGCTTTCAGGTAAATACCAAAGTCCAAGAGAAAGGTGTCATTTTCAAGACTGACTTCCTCTTCACATCTCAGACTGCCTTAGCAGTGTCCTGCTCAGCACCATTAATGCTGCGGGCCCCTTTCTGGGATGCCAGCTCTCCTCATCATTGCAATGCCCTAGGTGCCTTAACCCATGTAATAATGCTAAGGACCTTCCAGCTGCCATTCTGCAGCCTGCCTTTCACTTGCAGCTTTGTACCCTTCCTCCTGAGCTGCCACAGGAGAGTTTTCAGACCTTCTGGGCAGTTGTTCTCCCCAGTTGTTCTCATACTGTTGTTCTCATGCTGTTATGATCAAAACACCTCCTGGATGAAGACAGGCTGAGAAAGTTGGGGCTGGTCAGCCTGGAGAAGAGAAGGCTGTGTGGAGACCTCATAGCAGCCTTCCAGTATCTGAAGGGGGCCTATAGGGATGCTGGGGAGGGACTCTTCATTAGGGACTGTAGTGACAGGACAAGGGGTAACGGGTTAAAACTTAAACAGGGGAAGTTTAGATTGGATATAAGGAAGAAGTTCTTTCCTGTTAGGGTGGTGAGGCACTGGAATGGGTTGCCCAGGGAGGTTGTGAATGCTCCATCCCTGGCGGTGTTCAAGGCCAGGCTGCATGGAGCCTTGGATGACATGGTTTAGTGTGAGGCGTCCCTGCCCATGGCAGGGGGGTTGGAACTGGATGATCTTAAGGTCCTTTCCAACCCTGACTCTTCTATGATTCTATGAAATTGTGCTCCCAATGGTGCTGAGAGCAGGAATAAAGCAGAAATTCCCTCCAAACAATTCCTAATGAAAACTGTGCAGTTAATATGGAGCATTATAACAGGGAGACCCTGCTACACTGGAGAGGACACCCAAGGGAGGGGGGGGGGGGGCATCACATGTCTTCCCAGCTGACTGCTGAGAGAATTTTCCCTTTCCATTATCTCTCTCTACTTCAACACTCATGCCTTGCTGCCACCGATACAGGCTGGTAACAGCAAGTGCTGTTTGATAAGATGATAGCAAACATGGCATCCTAACTCAGGATGTGGTTAGGACTTCCTCTGAGAAAGCTCATACATTGAGGCACTTGTCTTCACAGTTCATCATTGTTTCAACCATCTGATTCACAAATGTACTGAGCGCTTCTCAGGAAAGGACTCATGAGATGTGCAGCCCAAGTTAAGATCAGGTCTTTAAAAGAAGCTTTGCCCCCCTATGTGTTATAAAAGAAGACAACCCATGCTGCCAGTTCTACTGTGATGCTTGTGGTGAGATCCCATGATGTTACAGAAGTGCAGACCTACTTCCTTGATGCAAACAGTGATGTCAGGTCACGACTGATGAATGTTTTTAATCACCTTTATCTTTAGATGTACCCAGTGATTAAGACTGAGAAAGGGACTGTACATGTTTGCATGTGAGAGATGATGCTCTGTGTGGAGTATCTGAATATGTATATCAGCTTCAATTCTGTCTGAAGAGCTCCTTAGCCCTGCCAGAACTCACAAGTCAATCCAGCTAAGAAAGACACAATTTCTTTCTATCTTTTCCAACTGCTGTTGGAGATTCACTTTGGCCAGAGTCCCAGCCAGTGCGAACCCAGACATAGCACTGGGAGCACACAGAGATAGAGAGTGAAGAGTGTCCAACTTCCCAGCGCCCTGGAAGCCAGCTGCAGGATGTTTGTTAGCTGTGATGATACACGGGATAGAAGTGAAGATGACTAACAAGCCTTTCACTTGACGTTGTAGCTGAGTGTCTCATAACCAGTAACATTCAACTGCCTCTAGGCAAAACCCTCCGTCAGTCCCAAAGAGCAGGCAGTGCAGTGAATGAGTAGACTGAAGCTGGGACAGAACATTTCTCAAATCATTTGCCATTACAGATTTCCACCCCTGGTGCTCTGAGCTCTAGTACACAGCTAGCAATGCCTTTCCTCCACATCGTTATTGGCTCGACAACCTCTAACATAACTCACCCATTACACATTGTCTAGGGTTTGGCTGTCATGGCTATAAACATGTGAAATAAGGCAAGATAAGAGATTACCCAGATTATTGGCAGCAGTAGAAGCTGTAGAGCAACCTTGGCAAGGCTGCTTGTGCTATCTGGAAGAAAGCTGAGTGGAGAGGAAAACAAGGCACTGCCTGTACTGGGGGCACAGTCCTTGCCACCCTACTAGGATAGCTTGACATAGGCTGCCATCACCCAGGATTTATGACAAGCCACCCTTTCAGCACAACTCAACAAGGCTCTGTACAGGCTTAAAGCATCTCCCCATGTGCAACATTTGTCAATGGCAGGGCCCTGCTGAACATATAGATACGCAAGGGAGTTACTAAAGCCTAAGGAGGCACCACAAGGCATTGGGACCTTCTGCTTCATCATATGCTTACCCTGAGCTGGCAGCAAAAAGGGTTTATGCTAACACACTCCACAGCTCCTATTTGCAACAGGCTTGTTAGAAAGGGGTCAGGTCTTTTCAGAAAGGGAGCCCAGTGGGTGCTCAGAGAGCTGGAGGATGCTCACACGTTATCTGCGCTGTGGTAACTGATCACGTATGTGCTCTCACCCCTCTGCAAGGGAAGCACATTCATCTAACCCTCTTCCACTGAGGCTTAACATAATGTGTTTTACCTCATGGCTGCCCTAGGCAAAGTGCATGAATCAGTCAGCTATTGCAGCACAGCTGACATGCAGGGACTCAGCCATGTGTCTCAGCCCTCTGGGCTAACTATTGTCACAGTGTCCTTCTTCCTGCATTTATCTCGGCTAGTTTGTGACCCTGTGTGGTTGGGTCACAGCAGATTTACTTTGTACCTTCCCTTAGCAGGGGGAAGCTCCCATTTGTTTCTCCCTATGCAGTTTTCCCTTTTCTGGGCTTCTGTGGTTTAGACTCTCCTCTCTCCGTGCAGGTTTGCTGAGCTTCAGAAGTGTTTTGTATGGCTTTACTTAAAGTCCCCATTGCTGAGCCTTTCTATTCATACTCAGAAATGTTCCAGTATTTCTCTCCATACAAGTAATAAAGCTCTTTTCATAAGCAACCAAACAAAAAAAAATTAGCTTAGCACCAAAGCTGTTTAAAACAGATAAAGTTTAAAGCTTTACATAAAAAGTGGGGCTGTTTTTTGCAGTTCCCATTGTACTCAGCACAGCATTTTGTCATTATAACTTAGGACTAGAGCAAAAGAACCTTGCAATAAAAGGCTGCCATAAATTGACCTTTTGTTGCAAATTCTGCCATTCAAGCATAAAGCAGCACGACAGGCTACATAAGCTGTGTTAAAAGTAGGTCACTGTACATCCACTGTTACCATGGCTGGTCCTGGCTGTGTGTTACCGACTGGGTTTCTTGGTTTGAGAAGCAATATAGAATCATAGAATG